AGAATTCTTTGGGCACAAGTTTTGTAGTTTGTGGCGTTTTATTTAAAGAAAAAAAAGTGTGAACTTTCATCATTTTTATAAATGGTCCCAAATTTACAAAGGTTAAACAAACGACTGGACACAACAACATCCTTTTAAATGTGGATTATTTAAAAAAGAATAAAGGGACAAATCCTTTTGCAGTCAACGGTTAGTCAAGTCTGACTCTGCCTGACTCCGAAACCCATAGATATCATTATACGATGTGTTTCTTTGCTAGACATGCTGTGGTGCTGCTTGTTTGTCGGTCTTTCTGCCTGTTACTTTAAAAAACAATCTTGCTTTTGCAGTGCACTATATGTACTGCAAAAGCATATGTGACTATATGTGCCTTTGGGTATCTCAGACAGATTAGTTTCTCTGTTTTTTGTGTTTGTCTTTTCTGAGAAATGTGGTTGTTTCTGATATCTTAAGTGATTATTGGTCTTGTTTCTTACTGTCCCCATTAAAAGCTTCGCAAGTTATGAAAAATGTAATGTGCCCATTTTGTCATGAGAGGGCACTCTCCACCCACTGAACTACACCTTGCTTTTATGTATTTTTGCCATGCATTCAGTGCATGTGCTGTTTTAACTCCCGTCTTTTATTTTTCTTTGTAGGGGCAGAAAAGGTGATCATAGCATGCAGGGACATGGAGAAAGCAAACGCAGCCGTGAAAGACATCATCGAAAGCTCAGGCAATGAACATGTCGTTTGCATGAAACTTGATTTGTCAGACAGCAAGTCTATACGAGAATTTGCTGAAGCCATCAACAAAGGTAACATGATTTTCTGGCTAAAGAAACATCCATATGAACACACATGAAAAGTTGCATATTTTTAAATCCCCCCCCCCCTTTATTTTTTTCTTTTACTTTTTTCTACAGACGAGCCAAAGCTGAACATCCTCATCAACAATGCAGGTGTAATGGCCTGTCCCTTCGGGAAAACAGCTGATGGTTTTGAGATGCAAATCGGTGTCAATCACCTGGGTAAATAAAATCAGGCCTCAGTCACACCTGGCCTGACTTATAGTCACATTAGTACCGACTAATCCTTCTCCAGACTTTTTGATTTGGGGGGAGAGATTTGACAAATGTAGTTGTTTCTAAAACAATTTGCACGTCCCAGGACATTTCCAAGATTTCTTTAAATGGCGTGAAAGAAATCAGAAAATAATATCTCAGGTAAAACTCAAACGGAAGCACACAAAACTGGTTGAAAATTC